TATGGCAGAATTGTGTCGAGTGTGCTGCGTGGGTCACGACCATATAAAAGAAAAAAAATGGAGAAAAGCCCGTTGTTCATTGAATCGCCGTGTTATAGGCGTACGTCACGAAAGGAAGAACAACGTCAAGGTTGGAGTGGTCGGAATCAATATACATAGCGAGCATGTCTCCCAGGATTCTATTGAAACGTTCTGTTAGGCCGTTCGTCTGAGGGTGGTAGGCTGTTGATGTGCGGTGTACCGTAAGACATGAATGTAATAGCTCCTGCAGAACTTCAGACAAAAATACTCGGCTGCTGTCACTCAGGAGCTCCCATGGTGCGCCATGACGAAGAACAAACCAATGCAAGATGAAGGTTGCAACGTCACAACCACTAGCCGAAGGTAGCGCTGCCGTTTCGGCGTACCTTGTCAGATGATCGGCAGCCACAATCACCCATTGATTACCCCTAACAGAGCACGGTAGCGGGCCGTAAAGGTCGATCCCAACACGGTCAAATGGGTGTGCAGGACATGGTAAAGGCTGCAGTTGACCGGGTGAATGAGGAAATGTCTTGCGCTGCTCACACAGGGAACATGAGCGAATGTGTTTGCGCACAAACGTGTACACACTCCGCCAGTAGTAACGTTGACAGATCCGCTCATACGTCTTTAGCGCACCGGCGTGTGCGTGTTGTGGTTCAGCATGAAAATATTCGCAGATATCAGACCGCGCATGGCTGGGTATGACTAGCAACCATTTACGACCCGCCACTTGATAGTTTCGACGGTATAACAGGCCACCCGTATAGCGAAATGCGTTGCTTTGCAGCGAAGAGCACGCGGGTAACCAGAAAATGATGCGTCAGAAAACATATTTAAGAGGGAGACAATCCAAGGGTCCTTCCGCTGTTGGGATGACACATCTGTGACGCTGATGACTGAAAGGAGAAGGTCAAGGGCTGATATTTCCGTATCATCATATTTCATGGGGGATCATGAATACTCATCTGCGTCAGAGTGCTTTCGCCCCGATCGGCAGACGACGCGTATGTCGAATTCCTGGAGGCGTAGTACCCAACTTCGGAGCCGACCAGAAAGATCTTTCAGTGAAGCCAACCAACAGAGTGCGTGATGGCCAGTTACCACATCAAAAGTTAGTCCGTACAAGTTTGGGGCGAAACTTGTTTAACGCCCACACAATCGCCAGGCACTCTTTTTCTGTAACAGAATAGTTAGCTTGTGCCTTAGTGAGGGCGCAGCTGGCATAGGCGATTACATACTCCCCAAAACCTGGTTTGCGTTGCGCGAGTGCTGCACCAAGGCCGATGCCATTTGCATCCGTGTTTACTTCGGTCGGCGCAGTGGCGTCGTAGTGGCGCAGTACGGGTGGTGAGGTAAGGAGTTGGCGCAGTGTTGCGAAGGACTCGTCACAGGCTGCTGTCCGATTCGAAAGATCTGCAGGGTAAGCAAGGAGTTTGGTGAGCGGAGCACTGATGGAAGCAACGTTCCGGACAAACCGACGAAAATAGGAGCACAGGCTCACAAAGCTCCTTAGTTCTTTAACTGTAATCGGCTACAACTGTAGTTAGTTGGGCAGCCGAACTGTGGTGTGTCTGTGTGTGTGTGTGTGTGTGTGTGTGTGTGTGTTTGTGCATTCACATAGCTGCAAATTGTTAGCATCTGTGAATTTGGCGGAAAAGAAGAAAGCTTTCGTTTGATTCTAGATTTCACGTCTAAATTTCCACTAAAATCTAGTTTTGACTTATGAAGCAGTTTAAATTTGCTGTAGGCTTGGCAAAAAATTGTCTCCCTGAGTTAGTTATTCCAAACACAAAGTAACAGCCTTTTTTTCACAATTCGGCTTTGATATCGCTCATCACGCAGGATACATTCTGCTGTTCCACGTGCGCTGTATACATACGAAAAAGATTCTACCACTTAGCTTTCATGTAAATTTCCGTGTATATTCGGGTTGCACAAGGCTGGTGTGCATGATAAATAAACGTCTCCTTCTGGTTACCCCGCTACGAAGTGAGGTATTTAACGTCCGTGTTATTACAGTCTTATTACCTATATATTGATCACAGTGTTCAACTAAGCCACAAGGCTGATAGTTTCAATAAAATGCATCATAATAAATATAATTATAAGAAACGAAGACAAAACAACCCTGGTGGTTGCACAAAAGATTCTTAGATGTTTTTTAACCGACAGGCCTGTACTTCACCACTTATGCTTTCCGTCAATCTAATCCCGTACGATTATCGTTTGGCCGAGTAGAACACTCGGAATTCAGGGTATATTGCGGTACCTTTCAAAACAGAATTTATGCAGAACACAAACAAGATGTGTACCATGAAGCAACCGCAAACGCTACGTGTATTGTTCAGTGATGCAGGCCGCATACTATTAAGATGGCAGTTTTATTTTTTCTGTATTTCAATATTCAATTCCGTTAGCCTTTAGCTGGCTGACATCGCTATAATGAGAAATAAATTCCGCAGTTCGACCTAAAACATGCTGAATTGTTCGACAACGCCACCGATCCAACTACCAGCTAGTACACTCCGCGCCATCGGCACGCTGCAAAAAGGAGGAAAGCACTGGAGGCAAGTCTTATCCTCCATGTCCGAAGGAATGGTCTATAACTACAAGATCTATTTGGCAAGAAAAGAAAGTTCGTACACTGAATTATGAAAGAGCAGTTAAAGAATTATTTTAAATAGTCAGTATATATACAAACAGTACAAATGTATTCTAGCCTAAGTAGAAGTATGGTCACATTTCGAAACAGAAAACTTGGTCTTGTGAGACCCCCAAGAACGTATAACCAGTAATGTCTGTGTGTGTGTGTGTGTGTGTGTGCGTGCGTGCGTGCGTGTGTGTGTGTGTGTAGAGCCAAACTAGGAGTAGCACCGATATAATGGATTTAACTATAGATATTGACTGTTTACTCATGCATCGTTTATATTTATATAATCACTGTGCTTTTATAGATATGTGGGATAAGTAAATGGCTTCATGCTTTTGTGACGAAGCAAGTAAAATCACTACCAGGGACAAGGTCCGGGGCCACAAGGCCACTGTTGCATGATAACGAGCAAGACCCCTAGGGCAGGCCGCCAGCTATGGCAGTTGTTTAAAGGTAAAAACAGGGAAGCACCTAGTGTGAAGTAATTTCATACATTGTTAACTTATCGAGATTTATATTTATAGAGTATTCACATAAATTCCGCAGTTCCACAAATATAATGGCTTATCCTAATTCAAATAACTTGCTCCTAAACAACCAACATGGTTTTCGTCAAAATTTCTCATGTCAATCGCAACTTTTCGAATTAATTACTGACCTTCATTCTGCGCTTAACTCTTCCCGTCATGTCGATGCCATATTTATTGATTTCTCAAAGGCATTTGACAGGGTCCCCTACAAAAGGTTAGAACTAAAAATTCGCAATCTGAAGCTTGAAAACAATACAACACAACGGATACTGGAATTTCTTACTAACCGCTCCCAATCTGTAAAGCTAAATAGCTACATCTCGAACCCTACTAGCGTTTTATCCGGTGTTCCCCAAGGCTCGGTTCTTGGTCCTCCCTTGTTCTTAATTTACATTAATGACATAGCATGTAACATAAGTTCGCAAAATCGGTTATTTGCAGACGACTGCGTTATTTACAAAGAAATAACTTGCCCTACCGATAATACCATTTTACAATCTGACCTCGATAGGCTGGCCGAGTGGTGCGACACGTGGCAGATGGAAATTTATATAGGGAAAACTAAGCACTTGGAATTTAGTTCTGCTCTAATCCCTTTGCATAAGTCATACACCATAAATTACATTCGAATTGATTCAGTACAATCCTTTAAATATCTTAGGGTATTTTTCACAGCCAATCTAAACTGGACCACTCACATTGAATATCACTACTAAAGCAATAAAAAAACTTGGCATCCTCAAAAGGCGATTATACCTTGCCAACAAAGAAACCAGATTGCATGCATACGTTTCCCTGATAAGACCATCGCTGGAGTATGCTTCAATAATATGGCACCCCCACACTGAAAATTTAACTTACTTGGTTGAATCAGTTCAAAAAAAAGCTGCGCGCTTCATAACGTCATCATACTCACCGTATGAAAGCGTAAGTTTCATACTGAATTCGCTTAATCTGCCCTCCTTTGCCACGCGCCGTAAACTTGCAAGGCTATCTAATTTTCACTCGCTCTTCCACAGCAACTCCCAGTTTGCGCGCAAGCATATCCTCCCGCCATCACACATTTCAGCCCGTGTTGATCACCCTAACAAAGTCAATCCCATCTTCCCGAGAACAAAAACATTCCAAAACTCGCCCTTAGCCCTGTCAATAACCAACTGGAATTCCTTGCCAGCTGATGTAGCCACTCTAACAGAATCATCATCCTTTCTGAAAGCGGTAAAAGTGTTCCTGAAAGTTCCAATCGATTAATGTAGTTATGCGGTGTTGTTGTTTATGTGAATTACTTGAATATTTTGTGTGTGTTATTCGCGCCTACACTTGTTACCTGGAGCCTATTGTATTTTGTTAACGTACCTTTTCTTCTGCTGAGTTTATATATGTTTTTTGTTATCCTTATCACCACTGTGATGTGTACTCTTTTTTTCAATTTTTTTCCATTTAGGCTTTATATAATGATGCATCTGGATATATAATGTATTTTACACATGTTGAAAATCTTCCTAATCCCCCCCTATGTAATGCCCTCCCGGGTCCTTAGGGTATGTAAATAAATAAATAATCAAAACATATGTAAGCATATTGCTACGTGCCACTGCAAGGAGATAAAGAAGATAGAGCATATAAACTGGCGCGAGCTAATCTCCGGGCCTGGTACTGCTCGCATAAGCGGCTGTAAGTACATCTGCGACTACCTCTCCGAGTCGGTCTCCTTCTCGTAAAATACTTGGTGGAGTTGTGCGATCGCCGTCCTCGCCATTGAACATCAAAGCGGACGCTCCCTCGCAACTTTCAACATGACCACTCATGACTCGGCTACATCCTTCCCGGTTGCCCGCCCTTCTGTCCGGCCTGTCAACCCAACGCCCGCACCAACTTTCGGGACGATTCATGCCCCCAAAGACCCTGGCGTGTTCTCGGGCCGCGAGGGTTCCGATGCCGAGCAGTGGCTACGCCTCTACGAACGAGTCAGCATCACTTACAGGTGAGATCCCACACTTATGCTCACAAACGTCATCTTTTATCTCGACGGAACCCCTTGGGTTTAATTTGACAACCATGAGCATGACATTACAAGCTGGGACAGCTTCAAGGAAAAGATCCGTCAGCTTTTTGGCAACCCCTTTGGTCGTCGTGAAGCTGCAAAGAATGACTTGTCGACTCACGCACAAGTTCCACGGAGTCCTACATCAGTTACATTCAGGCTGTCCACTCACTATGCCGCCAAGCTGACGAAAACATGTCCAAGCCTGAAAAAGTTGCCAATATTCTAAAGGGTACCACCGAAGATGTGTTGTACCTGTTGGTATTCAACAATGTGTCATCTGTTGATGCGATTATTAAATAGTTTTGCTAGTTCCAACAAGCTAAATGTAGGCGCATCTCCCATCAGTTCCAGTGCCTTCCAGACACCACTGCGACGTCCTCGTGCCTCGACACATGTCATCCACCTGAAACCTGTGACAACTTGACGCGACTCGTCAGGCGGGAACTTGAAGTGGCTGCTTCAGCTAAAGTGGGACCAACGTCCCCTGACCCCTCTCCTCTAATTACGTTGCCCCTCATTCAAGCAGTCGCCTGGCGGGGAATCGCCACTTTAGGAATTCACTCTATTTCAACCCATTCCCGCACCGGCTTTCAGCCCCAATACACGCCTGCACGTCCCTTCCCGACCGGCTCTCCCTTAACGTTCCGTAATCCGTGCGCATGGCGAACATATGATGAAAAGCCGATCTGCTTTTCGTGTCACCGAATCGGGCACATTTCTCTCGATTGCAGAAGTTGCTGGGGTCCTCCTACACAAGCCTCCTCTCGTCACTTCCATGCACGTCCTGCCTATCGCAATGAGATCAGCCGCGACCATTTTGCCAAGGAACCTGCTAGTGAGCACCGCTACTCCCGCTCCCCATCCTCCAACGTCGCCAGTCTCGTTCTCCACTGCCCCGCCGACAGTCTTCCCTCTTCCCACGAGGTTCCCCGACAGAAAACTATGTGTTGCAGCCCCTGGAGGCGGCGCTGCATTGCTCGGACTTACAGAAAATCTTCTCTTCACGACACAGACAAAACGGAACCTTATTGATGTACAGGTACACGACGTACGTGTCACTGCTCTTCTCGACACTGGCGCTCAACATTTCGGGATGACGAGTGATTTTCGCTGCAAGCTCAAGAAGTTTCTCACACCTGCAACCACTCAGTTCGTCAGTGCTGCAGATGACAAAATAGGATCTATCGTTGGAATGTCTCGGCTCGTGTAAGCATTGCGGATCGACACACAGTTGTTCTCTTCACCGTATTTAATAAATGTCCCACGACGTAATCTTAGGCCTTGACTTCCTATCCGCGCGATCTGCCCTTATGACCAAATGTAACATAGACAAATTGGAAAGAATTCAGAGAAAAGCAGTTCGCTTTATATATTCTAAATTTCGTCACACGGATTCTCCATCTGAACTAATGTCAGCTAAGAACATTCCACTACTTCAGTCTAGAAGAAGGCAACTGCGCTTGGACTTCCTGAGTTCCTTGATTAACCAGAGAGTTGTGATTGACCCTTCATTGTATTTAACCCCTTTGTCAACCAGATATACACGACATCACCAACCAAACTCTTTTACACCATATTTTGCTAGAACAGATACATATAAATTTTCCTTTTTTCCGCGAACAGTGTCTGAGTGGAACACCTTGTCTGAGTGTGACCGCCTTGCATAGTATGTATGTTTGTCTCATAGTGTATATTTGTTGATGTAGCACTGTATATATTTCCTCATCTTACTCACTTTGTTATTTATTACGTTCGTGATCAATCTTAGTCCTCTGTTTTTGTGATTCCTGATTGCCCGTCCTGCTTCGACCACGTTTTGTAGTCTGCAGTATGAATTAATAAATAAATAAAAATATACTGTTCGAACAGTACTCTCCGACTACTTTTGCCCGCAACAGAATCTCTTCCACAAAGGTCGACTCGCCTCTGCACAACGGGACATGCGCGCCTCCCTACACAGACACTGACCTACGTATAGCTCGTCTCAATACCATCAGCTCCCGACGGTGACTATGTTCTGACCCCTATCACCGATGTCCTCATAAACCGCGGCATTACATTACCGCACACCATTCTGTCTGTCGTAGGAAATTCTACATGCCTCCCAGTTGTCAACTTTAGCTTGACACTTCAAGTGCTCCCACAAGGGATCTCTTTGGCGTTGCTCTGCACCTTAGAAGACAATGCGGTCGGTGTTTGCACGATGACCGCTCCTTCTGACACCCACGCTCAACATCAATTTTACACTTGCTTCGACAGCGCATCACGTTTATGATCGCTTCAAACTTAACGCCGTAGCAGACTGACGCGCTCCACTGGGTTCTGCTGCCTTAAATCTACGTTTTTTACCTCACCGGCCGTTCGTTGGGGAAAGCTACTGGTAAGACCCACCGCATAAACACTGGTATTGAGCATCCTATTCATAGGCATCCAGATCGGGTGTCGGTGGCCGAGCGTCACATTATCTAAAGTGATTCTCGCCAAGGACATCATTGAGCCTTTCTGCAGTCCTTGGGCTTCTCCTGTAGTACTAGTCCGCAAGAAAGACGGTGCATGGCGTTTCTGCGATGATTATCGTATCCTCAACAAAATTACCAAAAAAGACGTGTACCCTCTGCTACGAATAGATGATGCACTCGATTGCCTCTATGGATCCCGCTATTTTCCCCCCATAAGCCTCCGTTCCGGCTACTGGCAGTTATAGGTAGATGAAATGGGCCGTGAAAAGACGGCATTCATCACCCTGGATTCCCTAGATTAGTTCAAGGTCATGTCCTTCGGCCTTGTAACGCTCCAGCCACCTTCGAACGAATGATGGACTCTCTGCTCAGAGGATTCAAATGGTCCACCTGTTTGTGCTACTTGGACGACATCATCGTCTTTTCACCAACATTTGAATTTGATATAGAGCGCCTCTCGGCTATCTTAGAACTCTTCCGTCGCGCTGGCCTGCAGCTCAACTCTTCCAAATGTCACTTTGGACGCCATCAAATCACAGTACTTAGCCATTTAGTAGAGGGCAACGGTGTACAACCAGACCCGGCAAAAATCAGTGCCGTCAAAAACTTCCCTGTACCAGGATTTGCGAAGGATGTGCGCAGCTTTATTGGACTATGTTCCTACTTCCGACACTTCGTGAAAATATTTTGCGCACATAGCGAGGCCGCTTACGCAGCTTCTCAAGAAAGACCTCCCGTTTTCATGGGGCTCCGAAGAGGCTTCTGCGTTCTCGAATATCATCACTCTACTCACTACTCCTCCGATTTTGGTACATTTCAACCCTGCTGCCCCTATGGAGATCCGTAGAGATGCAAGTAGACATGGCATTGGTGCAGTGCTGGCTCAGAAACAACATGGCCATGATTGTGTTATTGCATATGCCATCCGCCTCCTATCCGCCCCAGAACGTAACTATTCGATCACAGAACGTGAGTGCTTGGCTCTTGTGTGGGCGGTAGCAAAATTACAACCTCATCTATACGGACGCCCATTTTCGGTGGTTACTGACCACCACGCGCTCTGCTGGCTCAACTCTCTGAAAGATTTATCAGGCTGCCTAGGTCGCTGGGCTTTGAGCCTGCAAGAGTTTTCCTATTCGGTGGTCTACCAACCTGGCCGCCTACACCATGATGCCGAATGTCTCTCCCGGTACCCTGTCGACGATCCTGAGGAGACTGACGAGCCCACAGAGAACTCTATCTTGTCAGTGTCGGACTTCCTTAACATTGAGGAAGAACAGAAGCGCGATCCAGTGCTGCTTGACATCATCAGCCGTACGGAATCCTCGACAAATGATGCTTCCGTCCACTAATTTTTCAGTCAATAGGGTCTGCTATACCACCACAATTTCCGACCAGACGGGCCCCACCTTCTCATCATTGTGCCTAAGAATTCGCGCCACTGACTTCCCACCGAACTTTATGGCGCTCCCACGGCTGGACACCTTGGCGTATCCCGCACGTACGAGCGCATCCGGCGCCGTTTCTTCTGGCCAGGCCTTTCTTGCTCGGTACGCCAATACGTGCCACGTGTGACCTACTCAACGTCGTGCCCCGTCGTGGTGGTCTAGTAGCTAAGGTACTCGGATGCTGACCCGCAGGTCACGGTTTCGAATCCCAGCTGCGGCGGCTGCATTTCCGATGGAAGTGGAAATGTTGTAGGCCCGTGTGCTGAGATTTGGGTGCACGTTAAAGAACCCCAGGTTGTCTAAATTTTCGGAGCCCTCCACTACGGCGTCTCTTATAATCATATCGTGGTTTTGGGACGTTAAACCCTACATATCAATCAATCAATGTCAACGTCGTAAAACACATTCGCTGCTACCCGCTTGCCATCTTCAACCAATCGACATACCAGCGAAACAATTTTACCGTGTTGGGTTAGACTTGTTCGGTCCTTTTCCCGCATCAACATTGGGAAACAAAAGGATAGCTATGATAACATACTACGCTACACGCTACGCTATTACGTGAACTCTACCGACCAGCTGTGCAACCGACCTTGCTGACTTCTTGTTATGGGACGTTATATTGATACACGGTGCTCTGAGACGACTCCTCACAGACCGTGGCTGAACAATTCTATCCCAAGTCATCACCGCATTCTGCGTTCCTGTTCCCCGCAACACACACTGACAACCGCTTAGCACCTTCAAACTAACGGCCTCACAGAACATTTCAACCGTACTCTAACAAATATGCTCGCTATGCACGTGTCGCCCGACCACCGAGGCTGCGACCTTGCCTCACCCTAAGCAACTTTCGGGTATAATTCATCCCATCACGACACAGCGAGTTTTTTGCCGTTGTACTTATTGTACGGAGGGAGCCAACTTTAGCACTGCACACAGTCATCTCAGCTCTCACCTCCTTCACCAGCGAGTATGCCCGTGACGCGGTTGCGCGAGCCCATCATTACCGTCAGCTCACTCGCGCTCG